TGGGGGACACGGCCTATCCTCTCTTGCCCTGGCTCATGAAGCCTTATACCAGCCACCTCGACCACTCTAGGGAACGGTACAATGCCAGGCTCAGCAGGGCCTGCATGGTTGTGAAGGGTGCCTTGGGCATCTGCAGGCAAAGTTCAGATCACTCTTCACTTGGCTGGACATCAGGGAGTGGAACATCCCACACGCTGTGGCCATGTGTTGTGTGCTCCACAATATTTGTGAGTGGAAGGGGGAGGCATTCCTACAAGCCTGGAACGATGGCTGGCCACTACGCTCAGCCCCTCACCACCGTCGTCCGGGACCAGCTCTGCAGGGCCTTCAAGCAGCTGTGTGAAGCAGCTTCAAGGGGCCATGCACATCTGGGAGGCCCTGAGGAAGAGTTTCTCACAAGGACCCTAGTGACTCTCTCCCCTGGACTTCCTCACTAGGGGCCTGTGCATTGCCCCTCTCTGCCTTTCCTCCAACACCTCCTCTTCCCCCCTCCCCTGCAGAGACCATGAAACAGACATTTTTGTTTTAGAAAAAAACCCTCTGTATTGTTTTTATTTTGGGTCAAAGTAAGTGGGGAGGGACTCGGGAAATAACCTGAGAGAGGAGAGGAGACGGGGGGAAGGGAGAGGAGAGGCTCAGGGATGGGGCTGGGAGTGGCACCTGGCTCTGGGGATCCCATTGCCACAGGTGTGGGGCCTCAGCAGCCACGGGGGGAGGGGTTGGGGGAGAAGCGGGAGCAGGCGCGGGAGTGGGCGCAGGCAGCATGCTGGCAACCAGGATTGCAAGGCTGCGCTCGTGGTTTGGCGCTGATCCAGCATTTCCCGCCAGGTGTCTCGCTGCAGCTGCGTGTCTTCCCCTCTTGCAGCTGGTCCAACTGTGGAGAATAAAGGGAGACGGTCAGTCATCGCAGGGACTGTTCCTGAAGCCTCCTCATCTCTGAGCTGAGAGTGAGTGTTCTCGGCTCAGACAAGGTCAAGGTCAAGTGTGTTTCTGCAAGAGCCTCAGATAGCCTCACGCAGCAGCCACATGAAGTAACTGCTGGCCTGATGCTCCGCTGAAGTGGTTCTGAGTGGCCTTAAATGTGAGTTAGCATCCAATCAGTGTGGACGCTCTATTTTGAAATAGCTCAGTGCCATGTCAATGTGCATTTGGTATGTACCGGAGACCTAGACAATGGGCCCTTTCCTGCAGGGGCACAGATGTCCAAGGGGGAGCCTTATTACCCCCACATTCCGTGGACAAGCAGGCATGGGAAGGTGTCAGTCAGGCCAGGATCCTGCCAGCAGGAGGGGGGCCATGGAGTAGCTGGGCTTCCCTCCGTGCCACGTGCCCTCCAGATCCAGCAGTGCCAGCATCCCACAGGGAGAGGACTTGTATCCCTGCCCGCTGGTGCCCTGGAGTGGTGCTCTCATGTGCACAGGCTGCTGTGTGATCCCCAGGCTGCAAAGGGTGAGCAAGGTGACGTGTCCCAGCCCCTCGACTCCTGCCCCCTCCTCCCTGTGTGCCTAGGGAAGATGAGGGCACTCACCTGATGTGGATTCCCAGGCCTCGGACGATGCCTGGGACACGTCCAGAGCATGAGATACCGGCTCCAGGGTCAGGACAGTGACAGTGCTGACCTTGTCCGCCTCCTCCTCCTCCTCATTCCCTCCCTCCTCCTCGTCTCTGTCCCCCGGGAGTACGTCAACAGGGAGGGGAGGGACTGCCCCACCCCCCAGGATGAGATCCAGGTCCTTGTAGTCTCTCTGAGCTGAGAGTGAGTGTTCTCGGCTCAGACAAGGTCAAGGTCAAGTGTGCTCTAGCCCAGCGTTTCTTAAAGTGTGTTCCACGGCACACCGGTCTGCCATGTTTGCTCAGCTTTTCCCTGGGAGCTTTTTTTTTCTCCAGGATCTCCGCACCAGACCAGGAAGGCACACGCCTCTTTCAGGCCCGGCCAGGCTCCTGGGAGCTGTCAGACAGCTCCCTGGGAGCAGTGCAGGGCTGGGTGGGAGCTGTGGACTGGCTCATTTTGCCAAATCTGTGGGCAGCTGCAGGATGGCTGGGGGCTGTCACAGCTTCCGGTCTGCCACAAGCCCTTTTCCCCAAAGCTGCAGCTTAAGCTTAAGGGCTCCCGGGGGAAGGGTGGGACTACCGAGTTTTCCTGAGCGTGGACAGTGGTCAGCAGGGCACCTTGGGAAGGGCTGGAGGCCCCTTATTTTGAAATAGCTGGAGCTGCCCTGTCTACACTGCCCCTGTTTCAAAATAGTTATTTCGGAAAAGGCGTTATTCCTCGTAGCGTGAGGTTGACCAATGCTGAAATAAGCTGCCCGTTATTTCAAAATCATTTCAAAACAATGCAATTGCTATGTGGATGCTCGCATAGTTATTATGGAATAACGGCCGTTATTCCAAAATAACGTTGCTATGTAGACATACCCCCTAGTGGCCTCAGGCCTTGAGAGCAAGGACACCGCCTGGGAGTTTGCCTGGCCAGAGCTCCCCACCTCTGCATGCCTCTCCCCAGCCCTGCTCTGTGTCAAGAAGTTGCTAGTATCAGAGGGGTATCTGTGTTAGTCTTAATTTGCAAAAGTGTCGAGGAGTCCTGTGGCAACTTATAGACTAACCGATTTATTGGAGCATAAGCTTTCGTGGGCAAAGACCCACTTTGTCAGATGCATGTAGTGGAAATTTCAAAAGCAGTTTCTCCTTTCGTGGTTTTCACACCTCCACATCAGCTTCTAGAAGTGGGCCTCATCCTCCCTGACTGAATTGACCTTGTTATCGCTAGCCTTACTCTTGATTGGTACTCTTTTCTTATGCCTGTGTGCCTCAATGAGTACAGGATCTGCCGAAAAAGCTCCCTGTTGTTGGCAAAACCACGGCTAGACTTCACTTTCACTTTCGAAAGGGCACGTGATCGGCACAGCGCCCGAACGTGAGTATGCAAATGAAGCCCGGGATATTTACATCGTGGGCTCATTTGCACTTTCGAAGTGCTTGATTTGCATCCCTCTGCCGACAGAGGGATGCAGACTAGACGGAGCCGACGGTTACATGAGGCACTTTATCCGAAGCATCTTTGAGTTATGCATATTTGTGTTCATAAGTCCACTTCCTAAAGCAGTGTTTCCCAATTGCATTTGGCCACGGAACCCTTTTAAACTCAAAAGACTGTTGCGGAACCCCTAATAACAGTCTTATACATGGAGCTGAAGAAGTAGACCACAAATAAGGCGATCGCTCCCCCACCCCGATTGACTGCGCGCACAGTGCTGAGTCGTGACATCATCGTCTCCACTCTCTGACGAAGCTGGCATTCCACAGGGACACGTATCGTGGGAAACAAATGAAAATTGTTTTTAATAAAATTCATAAATGCTTAAATATTAATGATTTTTTTTAAATCATAAAATGTTACTGAAATGGCATTTCCGCGCGGAACCCTTATTTTCACTTCGTGGAGCCCTGGGGGTCCGTGGAACACCATTTGGGAAACACTGTCCTAAAGCATGCGGGGGTGAGGGGTGTCACCCCTCCAAGTGCCACCCAGTGACCTAATTGGACTCGGGCTTCTATTAACCCCTGGCTAACTGGTGGGGGCATGCATTCCTCTAATCACACGCCAGCACATGGTTTATCTCCACAGCAGAGCTTTTGGATCCAAATCCCAGTGATTTTAGATGCACTTTGGTTCAGGATCCCAGGGGAAGAGTCCAGGAGTCCGGTTCTGAAGCTTTTCTCACTTACCGGGGTGGCGACGTGGGTTTGCAGCTGTATTCTCTGAATAATCATCATCTAGCTTGGCTGTAAAACTAAGCCTCAGGGCAGCTGCACTGGCAGGGTAACATCGAAGGAGAAAGGGGAAGGGAGGCATAACAGGACACGAGAGGAGGAGAGCTCAGCTAAGATTTATTTCAGACATTCCATCAGCCCTTTTTCTCACTTACCGGGGTGGCGACGTGGGTTTGCAGCTGTATTCTCTGAATAATCATCATCTAGCTTGGCTGTAAAACTAAGCCTCAGGGCAGCTGCACTGGCAGGGTAACATCGAAGGAGAAAGGGGAAGGGAGGCATAACAGGACACGAGAGGAGGAGAGCTCAGCTAAGATTTATTTCAGACATTCCATCAGCCCTT